TTAATCTACATGCACGTGCCGGTCCCAATCCCAAAATGGGCGCCAACATCCGCGTGGTACCCACGTGCGGTCCCGCCAAAATTTTTTTCGGGTAAGTTCATAACTCGGGAACATGAGAAGCTAGAATGCTGAAGTCTTAAGGCAATGTTCTCCGTCCAAGTGGGTGTTAATGCACTGAAGCCCATCCCTGGATAAGCGTGGTACCCGCGTACGGGCTTGCCAAAATTTTTTTCGGGAAGTTCATAACCCGGGGATCTGAAAAGCTAGAATGCTAAAATCTTAGGGGGATGTTCCCCGTCCAAATGGGTATTGACGAGTTCAAACCATTCCCGCGGGTAAGGGTGGTAGCTACGTACGGACCCGTGAAAGTTTCTTCTGGGTAAGTTGCTGATTCGGGAACCTGAGAAGCTAGAAGACTGGAATTTTGAAGGGACGTATCCTGACAGTTCTGGCGGCCAGTCCGAAATTCTTTTAGCTAAAGCATCTGCCGGAAAAACCAGTGCCGTAAGCGACAAAAACTATGCAAAAAACGCATCTTCGCACGGGCAGCCCGTGCGTTGGCCAGTTATTTTTTCGCTGTAATACAGTGGTTCCAAGTTTATTTCCACAGTCTTTGTCTATTCGCGCTATCGGTGACTGGCCAGCGATTTTCACGAAAACTTTAGCGTGAGAGTGTTGCGTGTTTTTAGCCTTATTTGGGACTGATACAAGGTTTGTGTTATTGCTAGGCTGCTTGTAGTAACCAGATTTACCCTGCAAGCCTAAATGGCGAAGGCGCGATAGATTGATTACAGCATAAAAGAACAGTATGAAAAAAGAAAGTAAGAGTGAGATAAAACGTTTCGACCTGTTAAGTCATATACGTCCTAACAGCGTGACAGGACCTCGTCAGTATTAGGGCCACAGTGCTTAATGGAAATGAAAAGAAAAGAGAACTGGAAGAAACGGAAAGAGAAACGATAAGATTAGGAGTAAGAGTGGGTTGAAGAGGGCGAGGAGGGAAAAGGAGGAAGAAAAGGATTTTAAGAGAGAAAGGTTTTTCAAAAAAGTTATTTTCTTAAAAAAAAAGAAATGTTAATGTGAGGTTTGCTCACCAAAGCAGGGACGCTGTCCAGTTGAAGTGGAATCGATGATTATCCATTTTAGATATTGACGAATTCTGACCTAGTAAATCAACGAGAAAAAAGAGTGCAACATGTTTTACCACACAGGTATCACTACTTTTCGTTACGTACATATAAAAAAAGAGTTCCGGTTTCTCTGATCCGCACATTACGTGCTGCGTTTTCAGGCGCATGATAAAAAAGCGGCGTTGGAGGAGACGAGGCGATACACAGTGCAAAGTCTTGCCAGTGTCGCGTATCAGGTGAACACACTGGCACATGCTCTGTTGCATACACTGGACTTGCAAGGTGATAAAATCAGTAACATGGCATCACAGGTATTACTACTTTTCGTTACGTACATGTATGTTGCTTAGTCCCACGAGCCGAGCACTGTCCACCAGTAGCTGCTGCAGTGAAAAAACGAAAACAGTTGAAATTTCACTTAAATGAGTTGAATTTTTTAGCGGCACCTCGTTGTACGAGCCAAAATGCTCGGTAGGGTATCACATTACGGTCCAGAAGTGGCAACGCCTGGGAAGAAGTGGTGCTGTCCAATACTGATCCAGAGCAACTCGAGCAGGTTTAAGTCTCGCCAAGCAGTTCTGCCAGGAAAACAGTCGCTGAGTCTGTAAACTGTTCAGGAAAAGGAACGAACTGGCCAGTGGCAGGTGATGCAACATTGGCCAGAGCGACTGGAAAGCTGCATAGTTTGAGAAGCATACTATGAATGATAGCTACTTGATGTTCTTTTCCAGGTGTAAATAACAGCAGAAATATTTGCAGCAATTGCGGATAGTCCACGATTTTTTGTTCCGTAAATACTTTTTTTTTGTGAAATTTTCTGATTTTTGCAGGTTTTGAATGTGGCCGAAATCATTGCGATCCATAAGGAAAAAGTAGCCAGACGAGAAATCGGTTTTTTGACAGTGAACAGGAGCGTACAGAAGCAGCCCAGAGTTACCGTTATTGCGACACAGGTTTGTTGATTTTTGTTCTGGTTTTCTATCCAAATTTAATGGCAGGCAGCATTTCGTCTGTCCGGGGAATGGGCACGGGAAAAGAAAGGGAAAGTCGGAATAACTGCAGTTACGGGTGAGCCTTTGAATGAGTGTGCTAGTTATTTCGCATGTTAATACAGTCTTTACACCGATCCATCTGATTGGTACCACAGACTTTTTCACATGCATTAATTTTATGTGTGTATATTTCTGAGTGTATGTGTGTATCTGCATATTTCGATCTCGAAACCTGTGAATGCTATAAAGCTGAAACTTCGGCTCAACTTAGTCTACACCTGCATAGTACACCCCAGGCATAAAATGGATTTCCTCACATGTAGATATGTTAACATTTTTTTGACAAGAAATCGAGTTCAAGAACCAGGCGAGCTGGAAGACTGGAAATATTTCTTGCCGGCGTATAATCCAGCGAATTTAAATTTAGCCTTCACGCACTCTAAGCCTCCCGTGCAAACATGTCAAAGTTTAAATTCTTTTTGGCACTGCGCTCACATAAAATTAGACTGCTTAGAAAGCTGGTGGAAGTTGTAATTTGAGCATGGAACTGGATCATGTTTGGGCAGATGCACGGGAAAACGACTTTCAAGTTCCTTCTACGTCCTGCGCACATTTTACGTACGGACGCGTGCAGATTAACTCAATTCCGCAACC